GCCTGATCACGTCGACAATTACAAGGAAGAAATTTCTTATTTCCTCTCTCTATATTCGAGAGTCACAATAGAAGACAAGTGCAAAGAAAGGAAACACCGCAAGCAACAATTCCTTCTTACTATATTCACCTCAAGCAACAAACTCCTTCTTGTCTTCAACACAAGCAAGAACTTGTTCTTTCCTTCCTGTAAGCCTCAAGAAGAAGAATCAAAGGAGAAATCTCCTTTCTGTTTCTGTTTCGCGAACTAAGGAACAGAAGCCTTCTTCAGCGGATTTCGCGAATCTGGAGAGACGGAGACATACAAGCTCTGCTCCCGAGGACGTAGGCATCTTTGCCGAACCTCGTTAAATCTCTGTGTTCTTCTTCTGATTTGTGTCAATTCCTATATTTTCTTCGCCCTAACTTCATAACACTCATTAGATAAAATCCAAATTACTCTTTTAAAGGTTTCTGAAAGACACAACAAACTTATAAAAAAAAAACAGTGATTGCATATTACAATACATTATGACAGAACATGAATCTAACTAAATAACAAGTCCTTAAATACTGATGGGATGGGATTGATTTAGAATTACATGAATTACACCAAAAAACTCATAAATAAGCTAACTCTAATATATATATATTGGAAAGGGTTTTGAATGCAATACTGACTCATATTATGCAGACCACTCATCTCCGTCCTCTACCCCATTAGAAATATAGACATTAGGAATGAGTGCAATCTTGTGCAGATCAGAACCTGATGGCTCTTCATACCGCTCCATCAATTCTTGTTGACAATTTTGTATTCTCAGATATTCCAGGGAGGGAGGGAGGTCTGGTAATTCTCGGAGTTTAGGAACCCTTATGATGTGAAGTTTTTGGAGAGAAGATAGGCTTGCAAGGGAAGAAGGCAGGCAATCCAGTTGATCGAGATCTTCTAGATACAACTCAAACAAAGAGGGAGGGAGGTCTGGCAATGATTTGATGAGCGGAATTTCAGCTAACCATAGCAGCTTGAGGGAAGAGATGGTCGACAAAGAATATGGCAGGCACTGCAATGATTCGAGTCCTCGAAGCGATAAGAATTCCAGGGAGGTGGGAATGTTCGGCAACAGGTGGAGTAGAGGAACCATATGCAATTGTAGAGTCTTAAGTGAAGAGAGGCTTTCCAAGGAGGAAGGGAGAGACTGCAGGAATTTGAACCATCTTAGGTACAACTTACAAAGTGACGAGCTAACTTGCAAAAACCACTGTTCCACCTCAAATGGAAATGCAACCACCTCATCATTTTCCTCAATTGTCAGCTGTTCCAAGGAGGTGATACTTCTCAATGGCTCCATTAGCAACACAGATGGATCGCTTATACTAAGTTTGCCCAATATGAGCGGGAAATTCTCAATGAACTTTGCTACTTGCCGTCCATTGAGAGAGATCAGAGCGGGGCAATTTTGAATTGTCAGGTTTTTCAGTGCTTTAAGTTTTACAATTTCATCAACTAGAGGAAGAGATGTCAGGTTTGGACAGCGGTAGATTTCTAATGAGTAAAGGGTAAAATAGTTGGAAATGCTGCAACAACTGCTAGTGCCTTGTTTCCAGTTCAAAGCTTTCCACCCAATATTATTGATCTTTAATGTTTTGAGCTTAGGAGGTAAAAAGGGAAATTGTTGCAAATTCGGGCAATCATTGAGGTCAAGCTGAGTTAAGCAAGGAAAGAAACCGTCAGCTTCTGCTGCACCTTCTGTATCAAACAAACCCTCTAATGCATCTAACTTACAAATATATAGCAACTGCAGTGATGGAAACACATAATGCTTGGCTTTCCCTTCAAATTTGTGATTAAAGCGCTTTGCTTTTGGCATGTTCCAAAGCATCAAAACCTCGAGGAAGGGAAGCTGCCCAAAAGGCGGAAGAGTTTCCCACTCCAAACACTTATCTAGACGGATGAAGTTTAGATTGGAGATCAAATTGGCATTGTCCATCCATGTTGCAGATCTTGCACCCATATATGCGCGTATGCAGAGTTTCTTTAGATTGTTTTGTGGTTGAAGATTTGCAAGCACCTGCTCATGCAAGATGCAATCTACAATGTTCGATGGGGATTGGCTTTCTAACTCAGTGTCATCCCAATTTAAAGACAATTCCAAGAGGTTTCTCTTTTCACATAATTTGGCACTGCATGCCTCTTTGGCATCCTTCACACTTCCAAGAGATTTAATATTTAATAAGTGGAGCCCATTCATATGTTCTAACTCCCCAATTCTATAACCATCCTCATTCTTAACATAAAATGCATCCAATGTTTGAAGAGAGTTTAACTTCCCAATCCCCCGGATCCAAGAAACGACAATCTTAGGCATTTTCATGTAACGCAAATTAGAAAGATTATTAATGTCTCTTGGTAAGAGATCGTTAGAAGGTATCCCAGGATAACCTTGATAGATAATGAACTGTAAGTGATACAGATTGCTTAAAGATCTTGGCAATTGAATAACATTATTTCCTGGCAGTTTAGTATAATAACTTCTTGATATGTTTAAGTATCGAAGATGTATTAAATTTTCAATCGCCTCAGGTATCACTTTTATCGAGTGAGAACGTATGAACAATAAACGAATACTTGTCGATTCTTTAAAAATTTCAGTAAGTAAATCAATAAAATCTTGATCTTCACTGTCACACCAAAAAAAAATCGAACGCAAATTTTTTAATCCTCTAATTTTTCTCATGATTTCTAGATTTGTGGTTTGAACAGATAAGTGCCGGGTAGTTTTAGGAATATGAAAAGGCAACTTTATATTTTCCACAAGACGGAAGTATTCCTGTGCAGAAACAGATTGTGCCAATTCATGTAACAAGTCATGCATCCTGCAGGAATTATCATCAAGAGTCTCACAATTTTCAAAGAAAGATTTCTTGACTAAAATATCATAATATCTTCTTCCGACATCTTCCATGGTCTCTCCTGAATTGAAAGAGGGCTGAATGAAACCCAATGCAATCCACATTCGGACTAAATCTTTTTTATCAAACCAATGATATTGGGGGAATAAGCCACAAACTACAAAACAAATTTGTAGATGTTTCTCAAGGTATTTATAACTTAATCTCAAGATAGGCATGATGTTATCATGAACCTCCCCTGGTTCGGCGCTTCCCATATCACTCTTTAATACTCTTTTCCAATGCTCCACATTCAAGCTAGAATTTAGAACACCGCCAATGACCTTTGCTATCAATGGAGACCCTAAAAGCTTTTTAACCATGTTTCTAGCAATGCACATTAATTGTTTACGATGATCATCAATGTCGTTTGCATCCGTGAATGCATGGGTGTGAAGGAGCTGCAAACACTCATCTTCCTCCAAGCCCCCTAATCTAAATGTTTCCTCCTTCATTGTAATCACCTTGGCAATCATCGATGCAACTGAATCCATCCGAGTTGTGACCAAAATTTTACTCCCCAATTTTCCATAAGCCAGAGGGGAGAGCACATTCTCCCATTTGCGTTTATCCATCTCCTCCTCATCCTCCCAAATATCATCTAGAACAAGCAAGAACTTCTTGCATTGCACCCCAGACTTGAGACTCTCTTGAAGAGCCCCAAGTGACTCCAAACGAGGCCTCTCCCTTTTAAGATATTCTAACATATCGGCAATCACTTTTTTTGCATCAAAGTTGTTGGAAACACAAACCCACATTTTAAGATCAAATTCCTCTTTCACATCTTGAAAGACATGTTGTAAGAGAGTGGTCTTCCCCATACCACCATGACCCACTATAGACAAAAGAGAGATGTTTTTGTTAGAACTAGTGCCGGTAAGATCTTCAATTGATGGTTCCCTCAACCACCGCATAACAAACTCTGTTTCCTTGCCTCGACCGATGAAAACAAATCCAGGGTAGGATCCGCTTGCACGATCGTCACAGAACCCTGCTCCTCCGCCTGCTGCACCTGCTTTGTTTCTATTAAAATAGGAAGGAAAGCACTTACCTCAGCCGCTACTTTATCAAGTTTCTGCACAACCTCCACCAGCCTATTCAAGTTGCGATCAATTTTGAAGACACGTCTGCCTAATTTGCGAAGTTTGCTAACACCTTCCAAAAGGAAACTAGTGGCTACGGAACGCTTCTTTTTTTCCTCCATGTTTTGTTCTGACACCCGTTCTCTGAGCTTCAGGTACTCAAACTCATCAAGCAAATCATCTGCCTCATCGATGGCATCTCGTAGCTGCCATATCCAGCTGTTGAGTGGTGAGTTCTGATCTGTGATGTCTGCTTCGTTGGAAGCAGAAAGGACAGCTTGGATCTTGCAGTGATTCTCTCGCAGCCTTTGCAGCTCCTTCTCCATGCTATTCTGCGATCCAAAATGGCATTGAAGGTACTCAGCGCAAGTGTTGATGATCTTATCCAAGATTTGGCCAATAAACAACTCCGCCATTGCAGCGCAGAGGAGAGATTGTGGAAGAGAGTAAGATATGAAATCCGACAATGGGAAATTTCAATAAATATATGAAATCAGACTTTGGGAAATTACAATTCATTTGTAATTTAGTTTTTTTTCCTTAAAACTATTCCAATTGTTCTTTTCCGGCATTGAATCTTTCTATTTAAGAATCTCAACAAACAGACAAAGTGTTATGAAGAATAAATAATTTAAATGGAAGTTGAATATTATTATGTTGCTTTCAACTTTATGGAGTAAATGGGTTGGTCGAATGTGATCAACTGGCTTTTCTCGTATCAAGTCGTCAAAGGTGATTCGATCTTAATTAATCACCTTTGATGATTACTATGAAGAAGATCTAACCATCTTGTAGCATGAATCTATAACTATTATTATTATAAAATATTCTCATTATTAAGAGTATTTTTATTTATTACATTTTTATGTGACTCTTCTAATGCTTATATATAAGCACAACCTTCTTTCAATACATTATTTGGTTCAATAAATAAGGGTTGAATATCAAAATAATCCCCAAACAATTCACATATGATCATTTAATGCCAACATCACATTTCTTCAATTTAATCATTCTCTCATAGAAAATTGATCTAGAATGATCTCTCAGAGACTACACTGAGATCAATTTTATATAATCGAGAGAGATGAGATTGCGAACAATTTTTCTACACAATTAGCAAGAAACATTTTAGAATCAATTTTCCATAACCAAGTGTCTATATTAGAAAAATGTAATATTTTCGTACTAAATTGATCTCGTGAGAATAGTTGGGGTGATTACTTTGTGTTTCAAATCACTATCACTCCCTATGGGGAATTGCTTTCTTGTTGTTTTTAGAAATTTTTGTGCCAGAAAGCTGACGTTTATCTTTTGTATGACCACTAAGTTGAAAAAAGTAGAACCTTTCTGAGAAGGTTCTTGAAAACCATCAACCACACAACAATCCAAAGAAACTATTCATATATGCATAAATGGGCACAAGGTCTGCAAAATGAATGGAAAATTCCAATTTGATTTTCAAATTTAGTATATCCTACTGAACGAATGTTTGCAACGGAAAATTCAAAGTATTGGAGGATTGGTTTGATGTAGCAAGAGTAGAAGCAGATGACTGCATGTTTCCTTGCTTAACTGAACTCTAGCTCAAAGACTGCCCAAAATGACACGAGCTGCCCTCTTTACATCCTAAGCTTAAGAAATTGAAGATAGATAACATTTCATAAATCTAAAAAGATGGTATGAATTGGAGACCATTTAGAACCATCCCCTCATATACAGTGAAGTTTACATAAATGATCCATCCGTGTTGCTAATAGAGCCATTGAGAAGTATCTCCTGCTCGGGAATGCTGTCAATCAAAAAGGATGATGAGATAGTTTCATTTCCAAATGAGGCAGATCAAGGGTTTTCTTCCTACAAGTTAGCCCATCCCATCTTGAGTTGAACTTTGTAAGGCTCAACTCCCAGCAGTCTTGCCCTACCCTTGCCAAACCACTTTTCAGAAACAGATCTATGTGTGTAAGAGATTTCTCAGCACTATGGATCACGACGGGATCTTAATAAACACAAACTCTTGCAATGTCTGCCATAATTTTTATTTTTTGCACATCTCCACTTAAGACTATTTATCAAAGAGGTTCCTCAGCTCCAGCTGCAGCTGAACATCCCCACCTACTGAAATGATTAGCTATTGAAAAAACTCAAACAATTGCAATGCTTGCTATCTTTTTTGCACATCTCTTCACTTGAGAAATTATTTATTAAAAATGTGAAATTGAACACAACATAACCGAACTAACGTAATAACAAAAAAGATTAAGCTTCTTTATTTTCTACAAGAGGTATTCGTCATTGGTAGCTCATCCCTACTAGAAGAATGAAATTTTATAACGAGTTTTCGAACCGATAAGAGGCCGAGTGATCAAAATGGCCCATTTGATTAGGAAACACAAGAGCCATGCCAACGGAGAGGCTAAATAAATCAAATGCAATACAGTTAAATTTTAAAATACTAACTTATAATGAAAAAAAATCATCAACAGTAATTGGCTTGCATGATAAGAAAACTCTTCAATAAACAAACATATATAATTTTCTTTTTGTTAAAGGCAATTGCTTCAATTAACCTGCGTATAAAGAGCCTTATTCAAATTTGGCAATCTCCCTTATAGCTAACTTTCCAGTCCTCGTAAAGCGATGGGGATAAGTATAATAAAATTCAAAAGAAGGATTAGAAAGTGAAAGGTAATTAAGAAAGCCCCAAGGCTCAGACTAAAATGTACAGTAACAAATAATCTGCCTTCACAAGAAGGCGGTAAAGACCCATTGAACAGGGTATCTCGGTTGTCATGAATAACACTAAACTAAATCACCATATAAAAAAGCATATTGTATGACCAATAAGTGCGTCGGACGTGAAGAGGTGCCAACGAAAATAACTCCAAGGGGTGAGGGGTGAGTTTGTACTTTTATATTTGTCCTCCTATAATCTATAAATAGGAGGTTCTTTTATGTATAAGAAGATTGATGACATTTTGGCTCTCTCCTTCTCCTGTAAATAATCCTTTAATATATGAAATGAGTCTGTTGACCTCGGTCATTACTCTTTGCCTTAGAAGCCTAGGATCTAGTCATAAGACTTTCCTATTGACTATCTTAGAAAACTAGTATTGGAATCCATCCCCTTTAGAAATTCCAGTCACTTCCTATTTCTCTTGTGATGTCTCGCATTGATGATCTCAAAACCATCGTCGTATGATCGAGTGGTTAAGGACTATCATGTGGAGACTCGGTGAGAAGTTCCCAATATGATCTCAAGCCCTAGGAGAACCTTTTCAGGACTTTATCATCACACACACACACACACAAAATACAGGAAATGCACTAAGTTGCACAAGATTGGACTAAAATTGAACTTAAAGGATTGGTGAAAATGCGAACTTCTCCGAACGATCTCCGACGACGAAATAGACTGCGACAGCGAGTCCGGGACACCAATTTTGGCTAGAAAAGACACTCATATTGTCATAATTCCGCGCACAAGCAAGTTGCACACAAATCGATGGATTCGTTATAACGACCTCCAATGACAAAACGAACCACGGCAGCGCGTCCGGAACACCAAAGTTACCTAAAAGGGACTAAACCCTGCTTTCCCCTTTTCCCGCACACTTAACCCTTCGCTCGACCCCGCGGCTTAGTTAGATGCTTGGCTCGTCCCCCGTGTGCCCTAGCTACCATGGACGATCCACACGACGATCTCTTCCCCCTCTCTCGACTCTTCCCCTTCTTCGTATGGTCGCTCGACCTTCCGGCTCTCCAATTGCAAGGGTCGAGCTGGCTGACTGAGCTGGCCAACCCTTCTCCTTCTCGAGGTTTTACCGTCTCCCTCTTTACTGTGGCGATTCTTTCCTCGTCATTTGATTCGACTACCAGTGAGGCTGGTAGATGGCGGTCCCCCTCTCATCTCTGCCAATAAAAAAACTTCCTAGAATACTGTTTTTGGTTGTTAAAATTTTTTTTTGAAAGAAAGAGAGGCTGAGGTTTTTTTTTTCTGCCTGAGGCTTTAGGAGGAGAGGTTGTGCCGGAATTTCTTCTTGGCTAGGTTCTGGTGTACTGGGAGTTTGGAGCATTCGTTGGTGCTGTTTCTAGAAGCCTTTAGGAAGAGAGGCTCTGTTGAAGTTCTCTTTCGGCTAAGTCCTTGTGTGTTGGGTGTTTGCAAGCTTGGTGCCCTTTTTCTGTGTTTTTCTCAAGAAATCTCAAACAAGGTACTTATTCCTTCTCTTCTTTGTTCTGTTGCCCTGCTCGACACATGTTGGAAATGTTAAAATAAGGAATGCATACATAAGGCTTTGATTTGTCTTAACTGGTATTTCGTAACGACATTGATATCAAAGATTGGGCCTTTAATACTTTTATTGGATCTGATTTAGAAGTTCTATGTTGATTAGTTGAAATAACAGTTCAGGGAAAGCATGTTTCGACCTATTGTCATATGCAAATCTTCTTCTTACACTTCTATTATTCCTATGCCTATATGTTGGAAATTGTGGCCTTTTTTTTTTTTCTTTTCTCCTTGCTAAATCAATTTATTGTTAAAGGAATGATGATTTTTTTTAGGGGAAAAAGATAGCTTGCATTTCTTTTCTGCTCGAAATACATTGGAAATCATGAATATGAACTCTGAAATGATATTTGCTCATCTAGAATTCATGTTAGAAATAAAATGTTGATGTTTTTTTTTTTATTATTGTTATTCTTGTCCAAATAAATGCTGGAAGTTCTACCCCGTTTGGACCCATTTGATGGGCTCGGTTTGAGTCTTTTGGGATTGAGACTATGCTGAAAATGTTTCTCTGTTTTTCCCCATATGGATGAGTTCGGATTTTGGCTTCATTTTGGATTTAATGCTAGTTGGGAATTTTTGCTCTATTTTGCTTTTCTTGTGGGCTCAGTTTGGCCTGAGGATTGGGTTCGATTTGCCCCTATGCTAGGCCTGATTTGCCCATGTGATAGGTATGGTTTTGACTCTGTTATGTTGGAAATTATAGTTGAAAGATGTTTCTCTATTTTGGCCCATTTGGTGGGCTCATTTTTTTTTTGTTCTTTTGGAATGAATGAATGCTGGAAATTATTCTCTTTTCTCCCATTTGGTTGGATTCAGTTCTAGCTCTTTTGAAATTGAATTATAGTTAGAGGTATTCTTTTGTTTTGCCCCCTGTGCTGGGCTCGGTTTGCCCCTTTGCTGGACACAGTTTGGTTAGAGGCTCTTCTTTAACGTCTCTCCTGAGATTTTTATTGGTAATCAAGTTTGTCTTCCCAAAATTTATGATTTCAATATCTACTTCTATGTGTAAATGTTTGATACAAGCAGACCAACTCATTATCATGTCTTATTTAATGAGAATTGTTTCAATCTAGATAGTTTATGTGAGTTTGTCCATTCACTCTCTTATGTATATTAAAGGAGCACAGTGGTAATATTTATGGCGGCTTTTCTCTTTGCCGTGAAGCCTGTTTAGTGGTTTTGGTCTGCTGCCTTTAACCGTGAGCAT